CACACACATATATATACACACACACACACAGCCTTAAAATTAGGAACTTAAAACTTGCATAATATTAAAACTTGATTTAGTAACTATGTTGTTTTGATGCCAAGTTTATTTATAGTTTAAGTAAATTTTGAATGTAACTCAGCAAAACCTTGTGACATGCAGAAAAGGGTACCTGTATGGAAAGAGTTAAATCTTTTATGTTTTCAAATTAAAGTTGTCAGGTGTATCATTAAACAAGGTTTTTAATATTCAATTACAGTTGTGATGTTTATGACAAGTAAAATACTTAAAACTAGTTAGTGTTGTTTACATGGTCTTTAGACTTGTTTGTGTGTATTGTAGTATTATGAACATTTTCATTACTTGAACTTGAAGAGAATTAAAGTCTGTGAAACGCATGGATATAATGGAAGATCACGGTCTAAACTGCAATATGTTTATATTGTACTGTTTACATAACGAAATATAAACCTTTAGATGTGCTAAAGAACAAACAGTAATACAATTGTTGTCTAGAATAAGAATGTTTAAAATGAACATTTTATGCTTAAATGTAAATAGTGCACTGATAAGTACTTATAAAACAAAATACATCAAAAACAGAAGTAAAATTTTAAATTTCCTCAGTAGCTAACATTTATAGTGAACAAAGTTGCTGTTAACATTTGCCAACTGAACTCTGGAAAATTCCAAAAACTCTAGTTATATACTTACCTCACTTTCAATAAAGAACTGCACCAAATCTCGGATCAGAGGGGTGTTAATAGATCTCTTTTTACCTCTCTTTGTAAGTAAGCCAAGAACAGCTTCTTCATCTGGCTGAAACAACCTTTCATTCAAAAATTCTCCAGCAGCTTGAGCAACAGCTCGATGAGAAGAATAGACCAGTTCATAAACGTGCTCACAATCTTTATCAGTCAGGATTTCACGATGATACCTACCAATTTTTCAACAAACCAGTTGCAGACAATAAATAAAATAAACTTCCATCAACTACTAACTCAAAAACAAGATGCGTCCAAGGGTTTAAATACCATAAATGAATTAAACATTGTGAACAATTGTGAAAAATAATAATTTTTTTTTGGAACTCCACTCTTGAATAGTAATAATAATAACAATGCTACATGGACACTGAAACACCATCTACATTTAAGTATAATCTTTTTCGTTTGCTGCAGTTAAATACCATGACTACACTAAAAGGACTGGATAAAGCTAGTTTTATGTCACCATCCATGCTGTGTCTAATAAGCTTTTATTTATTTATGAATTTTCTATTATTGAAACAGTGCACAAAATGTATTGAGAAGGAAATTAATTCCCCTATTTTGTTAAATACCAACAACAATACAATTACAATCTAAGAAAAGTAGTATTGCACCTAAGATATAACTTGCATTTTATTACTTTTCCTGAATCAAAATACATTCAAAATTAGTTTCACTTTCCCAGTTTCATAGACTTGTCTAAGTATGATGTTGCTTGAAGGTTAAGAAAATGTAACTATATGCATAATGAAATAATTGTTAAAACATTTATTGAATATAAGACATACGTCAAAATATGCTATTTTAATTTATCACATTCACCGAAAAATGTTGTCAAACTAACTATAACAAATGGACTAGATCATAAAATAGTATTTGACTTGCAATATTACAACGTACAACATTGGTACCTATTATTATAATGTATTTATTAAAATGTAAAAATTGTTTCCCTGCTGTTATCAATTTTAATGCTCTATTGTTTATGCAATTTTTTCTTACTTGTGAATACTGATGACCAACTTTACTGCATGCACAGCAACATCATATTCTTTGTCCAGTGTCATAGCAACAATCCGATCCTATTAAAAATGTGGTGCAAGCTCTAATAATCTCTTAACAAATTTGTGTTGACCATATAAAGTTTTATAATGCATAGTACAAAATATTACACGATATATTTCTCATATTATTAAGTTTTAGTTAAAAAGTTTATGCATTCCCAAGTATGCTTACTCTTGAAAATCTTTGACTTTTAATAACACATTTTGATCAAGTGTTTTCTTGGAATTCTTCAAACACTATCAGATAGGCAGTAGCGCTGCCTACATAGGGATGGTTTAGATTGTTCATTGAAATGGTATTTTAAATATCTCCTCAATAGATCATCAGAACTTTACAATACTATACAGTGTTTCCTCTTATAACAATATCTATGCAATGACTGAGTCACAAGTTCTTGGAATGTCTGTAAATATCATAGTAAAAAATTTGATTTACTTGTTTTTCTTTCTTCTACTTTTTTTTTATTACATAATAACTCAAAAACCAAAACAATGTTGTCAACATTTCACTGAGGTGACATTCTTTCAAATGGAGTATCTGCTTTTATAGGTATTTTTAATAACTAGTAGTAATTAAAAAAACATCATAATTCTAGTGTCAACGATGTTATCCTTACTCCTTGAAGTTAGCTTTCTTATAGAAATTTCATGTTCCATTAAAAAGCTTAAGTACAGGGTGAAACAGGAATTACCATCCAATAATATATAAACAATAAATATTACAGTTGGAACCTCACTGTATGTCTACTAAAACTCTGCATTAAAAAAAACAAGCAAACAAGTAAAGAAAAAACTTTAAAAAAAAAGTAAATGTAGGAATGACTAATATCAATCCTTCAAAAGCAAAGATAGTAGGGATGGCATTTACATCATCCCTACATAATAGCACAGGCAAGAAATAATATACATAGCACAACTGAGTTTAATTTATCCTACTTTTGTCTGTTAACATTGTACTACACTGTGTGCCTGTGCTATTATGCAGGGCTGATGCAAATGCCATCCCTACATTTATATATTTTGTTGAAAAGTTTTTCTTACTTGTGTGTGTGTGTGTCTATATATCTGAAGAAATGAAACAAGTTTTACCTTAAACTTGTTAGTGAACAATTCTAGCTTAGTTGTCAGTTCTTCTGCACCATACAAAGGAAGAAGTGCCTGTAGACATTTAAGTCTCACATCTCCAACCTGAAGAAAATCATAAGTTAGAAACAGGAGTATTAGTTGTTTTTTTTTGTTTCACTCCATCTTTTAATACTTTAACTTTTGCAGACAATTACTGACATCTGTAATATGTTTAGAAACTAAGTGGTAGTTGTTGAACAGAATTTTATATGCAATATCCTCAAAGGAAACTAATTTGATTTATCCTTATCTACACACACACCCAACAAATATTTGCTACTCAGCGTGTAAGAATGCCATGAAATTTGTCTCATCCACAAATTGTAAGTTTTCCATGAAAAGTTAAGTGTTAAGGTCAGTCAGGATATGTAATCCTTTTCACAAATGAAGACACTTGTGTTAAAATATTTCATCTTAAAAAGAAAAAAAAAACCAAAGTGGATTTAACTATAAGGAACTTAAAAGAGTACTACAGACCATGGTTATCACTACAAGGTACAAATTGCATCAATTCTTATACTTTTAATAGCTAACCTGTTTTGTTGATAAGTTGGTAAATCACAGCTACCTCTAGGTAAATAAAGCCACCTGAGTGAAAGATTTTAACCTGCAGGTAGACTAATTAGTTTCTATATCATAAAAAGGTTAAACACTACACATTATTCAACAGACCTTATAATGCAATAAAAAAGTGTTGATAAATCTACAATATAAAAACAAAGTTCCACTTTATCAGGCCAAGCCATTAATGAATATATTTGTACTCCAAGATGCAAGTTTGAGAGACTTTCTTTGAATTCACCAAGGTTTTGTCAGAGAATTCAAAGTGCACTAACATTTATATGCCTTTGTACTACAAATTTAAAAATTGTCATATATATATATATATATATATTTTTTTTTTTTAAATAAGTCACCTTAAATTATATTTTTCATTTTTAGTGGTTTTTCTGATGTACATGTAAAAGTGCAAGAAGAAAACCATGTCAATAAATTCTTGTACTTTACTGTCCAATTCTGCCTTAGTATTCAATAAATTTGGCACTATTCTTGGGCCCACCGAAGAATGGAGTATCCGTTTTAATATCCACACCTTCATAAAATATTGAACAATTTAGACAACAAGAATCAGAATCCAAACTTTCAAACTTGACCTGTCACTGTCATCACAATTGCATAATGATAAAAATGTTCCTTTTCTTGGATAGATTAGTCTGAATTGTTAGTTTTTACTATGCAAATGTAAATAATTCATATTTTTTTATATTATTTCGTAACCATATGCTATGGGTATAAAACTTGTACAGTCTTAACAATGTGGATGTGTTATATAAAAATTCCAATGTACAAATTGGATACAAAACAATCAGTGGAACTATGTCACTACATATTCCAGTTACTGCAGTCTTTTTTGTTTTTTCAATCCATACAAGTAACCTCATTGTAAGGCATTGGTAATTCTGTAATTTTAATTTGAGGAATTAACAGTGAGTTTATTACTTAAAATAAGTAATGATAATAGTAATTAACAATGTTCCAAAATCAAACATTACACTTCACATTGTTCATTCCCTTGTGGTCAGAAGTATTGATATCTTTTATAACAATATTTTTCTGTTTTAAAATGTACCAAAGTTTACCAATTTTCTGTTCCAAGCCTAACTAATTCCAAATCATGGAAGATAAACACTTTAGAAATACAAAATTTCAATTGGCTGTTACACATTTCATGGCTTTTCTAAAATGCTTAACTTTTAGTTAAAACAAAAGGAAAAGATTGAAAAATGTAATAACAAAATACAGCATTAAAAGAATACTGATTATAAATTACACACTAACTTCAAAAGTAATTAATAAATATTTTATCTTATATTGCCTGTTCAGTCATAGTCAAGTTTACAATTTAAAAAATTAAAAATTACTAAAATACAAAGTTGTATGATCTTTTAATTTCACCTTATCATGAAGAGTCCAACCTATATATTTCAGGTAGCTATCATCTAAGAAATGGGAGTGAAACTTCTTCATCCACTGACCGATCTCGTACATACAGATTGAACGAATCTCAGGTAAGGTATCCCTAAAAGAAGAGTTCATTACTTTACTTGTTTAATGATGTTCTGTATAAATTCTAGTGACTGAAGAATACTGATAAACATGAATGACTTTACAATGAAGCACAAAAAACATAATATACTTTCTTTATGTTAGTAACAGCAAGAAAACACCACAAAAAGGAATAAGTAAGTTAAATAATTAAACACTTTATCAGTTTCTAATGGAGCTGTCGACTATAAGCTCTTGTACAAACAAAACTTTCAAACATTTTTCTTGTTTAATTATCTATCCATTGGAACAGTATTGTATGAATTATATTACGGTTCAATTTCCATATCACAAAGAATAATTTAACTTCTTTGAAATGATGTTAGTTCTTATACTTGTTATTTTTGCAGTATGTAAGCATTTTGTGGAGATCATGTAGATGAGAGTTAGGTTTAACCTTGAAATCATCATAGTTTCATATAGAGTGAAAGGTCTGAAAAACAACTATTTATTATCACACTATATTTTTTCTTTTAATCAAGATTCTGCATTGTTCACTTGAATAGTCAAAAAGCAGAAACTACATAAATAATTTTCAGCTGGGAGAGAGGTACACAAACACAGCTATTCATTTTATCAGTCAATACATAAGAGAAAATATATGGTTATTAGAATAATGTACAGTCTCCAACACTGTTAAAGCCTGAATACTTAATAAAAACACAGATATAACAAGTTCATATTACATTTAGACTGATAATATAGACACACACACAAGTAAAAGGTTATACTTATTTACAGATCAGATCAATAATTCTGAACCTGTGATGTCCTTGGAACTATTACTTCAATCATTGATCATGCTTATGCTGACGACCATGACTATGTATCACTGCCCAATACATTTATTTTCATTTTATCAAGCTTGTGCAAAGGACAGTGAGGTCAAAATCAGGCTATTCCTCTTGAAAAAACTCTTCATAGAACCTCACTCTGCTCAGCTATTGATTTTTGAGACCACATTTAAGTAGCCCAAAGACATAAAAGTATTTGAGCAGCACTAAAAGCCTTGACAAATATGTGATCAAATAGGATTTCTACAATTACATTATTTTCAGCCATCTTCCTCATGAAGACTGTCACTGATTTCTAGGTTAAGCTGAAAGCTTATGAACTTCTGTCAACTTCAAATCCTGGTTTCTTGTACTGCTAACAATAGTACTAGAGATGTCAAGCTTCATTGCAATGCTTTTTTTGGGTTGGAGAATTCTCTTTTATAACCTTAACCTTCACTTTATGAATGAAGGATTGACATGAGGTGTGGTTTCAGAGGTAATTGCTCTGAGAGTTAAGTAATAATTTAGAGTTAGAAATTAAATAAATGTCGAGATGTATCCATTTTATGACACTTGCTAACAAGATTGATACACACAGTTTTTTAATACAAATATATTTTAATATACAAACAATAATACAATTTACAATAACAGTTATCACAAATAATGATTTATGTACAAAAGATTTACAAACAATATTTAGTCCTTTATTTGGTCTGGAACTTCCTTGATATCTTATCAAGGGTTCACAATTAGTGAATTAATTTTGAGTATATGTAGATACAATTCACTTAAGAGGGAGCTAGCTAGCTCCGTGTTCCTAATTCTTCACTGGCCACACACTGAGTTGTCCACCAATGAAGTTATATATCCGCTGAAGTTAAATGGTTTGTAATATTCGAAATCTATAAACATTCCTGGTCAAATATCTGAAGTTCCTGATCAATAAGCATTATAACAATCAAGTTATGGCTTATGAGGTTTATAGCACACCAACTATAGTAAACCAATAATATATAATCTTTTGGCACAGAGCATTGGTTATATTTATAGGCATTAGAAGAGTTTCTTGAAACTTCAGCTTATGCAACAATGTAAGTTCTCTCCATAAAACATGTACTTCTCAAATTCATAAACAACTAGTAGAATCTATGAATTTCTGAGCATATGACTAGTTTATCTTATGGCATAGTGTCATACACAGGAATATGCTAAGCAAAGAATATCCCTTGAAATATTTGGGTAGTTGTACATAAATATATGAAGTTTGAAGCCTGAAATTTTCTTTGTTTCTGAAGTACATTTCTTAATACTAGTCATTCTGTGGAGCATAGGTTGTTATTTAAACTATGTTATGTCATGAATCTGTGATGACCTTTAATTGCTAGGTGAAATTCATGATAATTATATATTAAGAGAATGTTCCTTGAAACAAAAAATGTAATAACAAACTTTGTTCAGTTTTATTTTTTGTCTATTTTAACAGTTAAAACACTAAACTATTGATAATAAAATTCCAATGATGAAAAAAAAAGAAAGATAAAACTATGTGTGATAACTGAAACATACCTGTACCGATGAACAAATACACTCTTGAACATGTAAGTCAACATGTTCTTTATTTCCTCCATATTCTCTTCTAACTGTAAAAAACAAAAAAAAACAATAATTATTATTTTAGCATCTTATTTTTTAACAATAACAGTGATAGTTGCAACAAAGAAAAGAATAACTAAAATTATATTCTGAATTTGGAGAATCTTACTTATGGAAATAGAACGTGGTATAGTTAATATTTTCTAACCAGATCTGGTCACTTTAACCAAAGTGTATCATAGATATACCATAATCAAACACACCTATTCTCAATTGCAGCAAAATGTTTCCCACCTATGCACAACCGGTGCCACTCATGCTCCAATCACAAACAACTGTTAAAAAGTACAACATACTTTTGAAAACAAGAGTCAGATAATAAACAAATGAAAAAAGGCAAGTATACCATTATAGTGTCTAGATCAATCAAAAAATATTATGCAGTGAAGCTGCAGCCTTCAATAAGAAAACAGAGTAGTTGAGTAAAATAACAGAACATCAGCTCTACATCATTTTGCACACTTATGATACAAACATCATGATTTAAATATTTTTAGAACTAATGAGTAGCTCATGCAACATAATTCCAAGTCAGTACAAACAACTCTCACTTTCAGAAGATGACTGAAAACAGTACAAAATAAAGTATGCGTATTAAGAAATTATAAGATTATAGTGATTGCTTTGATTTCTAATTGAAATTTCAATAATACTGATGTGAAATTATAGATTATTTATTGGGTGATCTGAATACTCACTGCAATATTAAAATCACATCATTACCTCTATCTTGTTTCAACATCAATGTTCATATGTACCTTAACACAACAGATTCTTACCTCTTGCCTTTTAGTCATCAACATTTCTAACCGTTCTGTAGCACGTTTATCTCGGTTCTTTTGACGCTCTGCTTCGTACTGCCTTTGAGTATTATCCAAGTTAATACTCAGGTTTAAAGCCACATCCACCAAAGCTGTCATTAACTTCATGGCTGTTAAAGAAAACAAGAATTACTAAGAAAATATACACAATTCACAAGCCTCTGTAAAGGCCATATTCCAACAAACATAAAACAGTAAAAATTGTAGCAGAAACATTAACCATTGTCATCAACAGTCAACAGCAAAAAAGAAGAATACTCGAGTAAGTACTTTATTTCTTGTTTTTCATGTTTATTCTTTATTTATTATTATTATTATTATTATAACTCTTTAGGTTAAATTAGGTAAAATAAATAATAATATAATAAAACTATTTCATGAGGCACACATAGAAGCAGCTCAGAGTAGCTCATGAGTAAGGTAATTCGATAGTGTAACGTGAACTGCACATTCCCCAAGTGATTTACAACCTATAATGGTTCAAAGGGCATTTGATTACAAATAGATGTATACTGTTACCTGTTTAAAGCTACTTAGGATAAACAAATGTAGTTTCATGTTATATTTGAAGTCATTTTAGAAAGAAAAAAGGGTAATTTAGATTTATTTCAATTTTTTTTGGTGGTTACGAGGTCAGTCAAATTGGCCAACTGTGTATAGAGCTGGGTAGAGAAAATAACAGATAAATATAATGTTTTACTGAAAACAAATATTTGAAATTGTATTTTGGAGGTTTTAGAGATTACACAAATGAAATTTGAGATTTTTGGGATGAAGTATTTTTAATCTTAACATGAAAACCACTTTGCACACGGACTATTCAAAACAAATACTCAATATATTCAATGATAAATCTTTTTTAAGTTTATTAAAAATACTTCACTAAAAAATATTATTTTTGTATGTGAAAGATTTATAGTGTTTACTGAAGATATACACACTATATTAAAAGTTAGTATTATCAAATTTATAAAGACTAGTACAAAGAGGTTACATGGTCAGTCAAATTGACCAAGCCCATGTTGAAAGAATTAATTACCTGCCAAAGTTGCTGTATGACGAAATGCTCGAACTTGAGAATCAGAGAGACCAGTTAAGAGAGAAATAACATTATCCATAAGATACTGATCATAAATTATGCTGTACTGACACTGCTTCACAAGAACTTGAACAAATTCACAGAAATTGGACCGAAATTTTTTCCAAGGTGGGCCTGTCATAATAAGGGGATAATCTCCACTTTCCTATTAAGAAAAAGTTCTTAGTTAAAATAAAACACAGTGATGTGAAACATTTTCTTCTATTTTTCCTAATCATTTGAAAATGAGTAAGCTTTCTAACCTAAAAATATACAGAAATGCAAAAGGTATGGCTACCATTCTCAAAATAAGTAATTATAAATGAAACAATTTCTAAATAAAGACACTTGACAACAACGAAATAAAATATTCCCACAAAGTTATATGATTATACCAGAACAAAACAATGCAAGTTAGATTTTTTGCCATATCTCACTTCAAAGAAGGTACAAAGTAATTTTGTTGTTCTAAGTTTGAGGAACTATTTAATAAACTAAGAAAACCTCTTCATCAAACCATTTTACCTCATCAAACTCTTCTGTCATTTTTCTTATGATCTGAGCATGCTCCAAGCCTGCTTGCATCTGTGGTGTGATACGACCTCGACAACCAGCACATTCCACCAGAAACTGCATCAAGTCAAGAAGGGCAGTATCACGATCTTGTTTATAAGACTCTATCCAGTCATCTACTACACACTAGGAGTAGAAACATAGCTTTCCAAGTTGTACTTTTTTTATATCTTATTTTTTGCTTTTCAATTAAGTACAATGCACAATAAAAAAAATTAATTTGTACAAGTTCATGCAATCATCTACCATAGAACAAAAGTCAATATAAAACTTGTTTCTCAAACACTGATGTGATTAAAACCAATGTGTCTTAAACAGGGCATGAACCACCCAAGGCAGTCATCAAAACATTTAGGTACCACAGACAAAATTCAAACCCCTCAAAAAACAACCAACAATATTAATGGTCATCTTCATGTCTGAAAACACTGGACAAGTACTGACACATTGCTGAAACTTAAAGCTTAGTTGTCAGTAGGTTAGCATAAATGTAAATAGACTTAGATTGGAAACTAAGTACTTGTGTGCATAAATATCAAAATGAGGTGGGAAGATGTCATGACTTATTTCAATTCCAGTGTTTGGAATACATAAATCCACAGACCTATATACTAATGTGAAGCTATGGTTCTGCTATGGCAATGATAATACATGTACAGTAAGATGTAACTTACACCCCCAGTTCTCAAGTTTTGACCAATATTGTTAACACTGATATCTAAGCCTTTTGATTGGCAGTAGGACTTGTGTTATTTTATTATTATTGATGTTAGTCTGTGCCTATGTCTAGATATAGTATAAGGCAAATAATAATAATATGTATTAATTTTCTGTATATGCCCACTACAGATTCAAATCCTGGTCAGAATTGGTTTGGAAACTTTGTAGAAATCAGCAAAATGACCTACAACTTAACAGACAATATAATACAATAAAAAGTAGGCCACAAAATCATAAATTTATGGTATGAAAATATGAAATCTTGATGGAATTAACAACATTGTTTTATCCAGTACAAGACAATTTCCACGATATTTTTTGTTCCAACTGGGCTCAATCGTTTAAAACCTTTTACATGTCCAACATGATTTTTTGGAACGTTTGACACCAAACATGTTTTAATTTCATGCCCCTTAAGGTAAAATACTATCATACTTATGTCACTAAAAAAATACAAATAAGATAAAAGTGCCCACATATAGTTATCTTCATATAAGAATAAATAAAAAATTATATATTCAAAATGGAATAAGAATGACAGTAATACTATTTATACAATACATATTTCCTTAGATATTTCAAAACTGATATTTTAGCTTTTTACACATACAAAGGTTTATTGGTAATTAGAACTCAAACTTATGATTAGATTGATTAATGTCATGAAAATAATCACCAAATAGAAACTAGCATATCTGATTATTAGTTTTCAATTATTCCAACTAGTCAAGTAATAGAAATATTACCATTACAATTTCTTCTTACTGTTTTTGATTAAGTTAAAGTTGTTCAGCTTAACTGACAAATGGTAGTAACTGCTACTAATTGTTTTTAAACAAATGCAGTAACTTATAGATTAGAAAGATAAGAGAAATCAGTGCCTTTACTCAGTTTGTTTAAAATTTTTTTCTATCTTGGACTGATTAATTCTTTAAACCCGAGCAGATGCTGCCAGCGTCTAGCCAAAAATTCCAATTTACCCATTGGACAGTGACAACGTCCAATAACATTTATGTCTCTTTGGCTGAAAACTAACCCAAACTGTGTTATTATCCACCTCTGATAAATAGACCAGAAATTTTATAAGGTATGGTGCTAATTATTAGGACTCATAAAAATAATTCCAGCAAAATGTTCAAAAACTTATGGGTTTATAGAGTTAATGAACAGTAACCTTGCATAAGAACATAAAAGCAAAGCAAAAAAAAGAAATTACAGCCAAATAGATCCCCATCAACCACCAAAAGGCCAAAGAAAATGTAGCACAATGTGTGTATAGACCTATCCCATAAAAGTTTCAGAATTTAAGTTAAATTCACATACCACATAATCAGGCAACCCATTCAACAAGTTCATAAATCTAGTCAAAATATAATTTTGATGAACAAGTTTGCATCCAGGCTTCCCACTTTTAACTTCAGTATTTAATTTCATACTTGCAATATTTGTTATTTTAACACTTAGACCATTCACAACTCCTTACAATTCTGAATGTCTGATGCAAGTAATCTCTAGTTTGTCTACACTCTAAAGGAAAATCAACAGGTTTAAACTCTCTCATACTTATAATTTCTTAAATTAGGTATCATTCAAGTTGCTCACCTTGGAACTCTTTCTAACATATTGATATCCTTTACAAAGTAAACCAAAACTGAACAAAATACTACAAATGAGGCCTCATAAGTTTTTATACAGTGTTACGGTAGCCTTCTTTCCTTTATATTCAATATTCTTATAAAGAGAACCAAGTTCTGTGTTTACTTTTGTTCATCAAACACCAAACTCCATAATTTATATAACTGCTAGATGACTAAAAGATGAGTTTACTTGAACAAAACAAGAAGCAATACACTTGCAATGCTGAATAGAAAAAGTATACAGCAGAGGATGGTCATAGGGTATAATGTAGTCTTCATCTTACATCATTTGCCACAAAGAAATTATTTTTTATTTCTACTTGTACCTTGTTCAGTGCTTAATTCTTCTAGTAAAACCTATTAAAGCCAAAGTATTGTCAAAAACTTCATCTTATACAAACATAATAAAAATTTTCATTTATTAAAATAAATGTCTCCTTTTAATATATATTTTGATACTGAGTAGAAAGATTAACCCTTTCGAGATGAGGCAACAGGTGGAAGGCCATGTCATCTTGTTTGTTGACTCGCATTCAAAGTTTTATTGAACTACTATTTCATGAATTTATGTCAATAATTTTGGTATCAAACTATAGAATATAAATAAAATTTTAGAACTATATGTTACACAATTTGTTAATTTAAAAGTAAATATTAAAAAACACAGAAAAAAAATTGATTGTGTGTGTCAAGTGGTATGTTGAATGCAGCACCGGTTCAAATTAGATGTTTGTGAAGTCAAATACTAAGTCTATAGTTTCATATGAATTAGAAACTCAAATTCCAGATATTGACAAGTTAGAATATAAAATAAGAAGGTCTTATCTTTTCTATTTGCTAAGATATTGCTCACGTAATAAATCAAATACAGTGGCATCCCACTCACCTCTTTCCATTTTTTTAAATGCTCCCTTATATACACTTACTTCTATATATAACAAGAATAACCAATCTGAAACCCAGAATGTCCCCTAGTGGTTTTCTCAGCATTTCTAATGTACCTAGCACCATTTCTTTCTTTCAGATTAAGATTTCAATGAGGTAGGTCATGTCTTTAGTCTGCTCGAAATTTCATTTTGTTACACCCAAATACAGCTTAGTTACTATGCTTGATAAATTATAGTATAATTCTATGGTATTGATGTAGTAATTTATGATTTTTTAGTTATTCAAAAGTATACATATAAAACCTAAAAAGAATATCTTGTTTCATATCCTTCAAATGCACAATTTTTAAAGGCTTAGCAACCTACGTCAAGCAGCAACCAAGTACAAAGGTCGTAACTAGAAGAGAATTGTTTGCTTTACTTCTTCATTTACTGTTTCATGTTTTAGGAAAAATAACTATTAAGACTTATTTCAAAATAGCAATAATCTATATACATATATAATGTATAATA